CATAGGTCTAGATCCAACACTGAGAAAAGATACATATGGGCTTTTCAAAAGATTCTGCTATGATAAAAAAAATGCGGAAAGCTGATAATCTAAGCGTGAGTCCCTCACTATCTTTTTTCTTTCTTTTCTATCTGGGACGTCGGCGTGCAACGTTGAGTCTCGAGATATGAGACATCCCAATGTGATTAGCCAGCGTCGTTCATCATTAAGGAAACAAGCTGTGGGGTCCACCTGTTTTTCTTTAAACTCATCAGGCTAGTCATAGTGGTAGTAACTTAGGTAGTAACATAGCACACTTCAAGCAAATTTTACTTATGTGGCATGTAATTAATGAGGAGAGAGGTGTTTAGAGTAACATAATATGTTACTGTAACATAGCGCTTCCCGAGAAAAGATGAGTTTACAAGTTAATAAATGAAATCATTTATAACACTACTATTAATTATGTTACTTTGCACTATGACTGCAGTAATTTAGACTAGTATCATATGCATGACACTAGTGGAAGTAACTTACGTAATAACATAGTGCATGACATTAGTATAACTTACTCCCCGCTATCACCAGTCTAAGAAAAGATGGCACTGCAGCAAATTGTTTTGTAGTACTATCTGCGACACGGAAACCGGAAAATGCCCCCGTTCGGTTTGAGAACGTGCTAGCACGCAATCTCGCCGAAACACGTATCTTGGATGCGTTCAACCACAAAACCCGCTGTGACTCGGACAGCCCATGATCTTGCACACTTTTGAGCAAGAGTGTTGATCATATCATGATGCAGCGTATCTCCTCCGATGATCCCTCCTCTCCTAGGCTCCTAGCTAACGAGCAAAAATACTCTCGTCGCCGCCAACCCGGACACACACAAAAAAAAACATCACGGTTTGAGAAGAGAGGGGCACGCATCACGCATGTGACACAGACACAGTGCTAGGCTGACATCTGTCAGGTGCTTTTGTCTCCGAGTAAACACGGTGCAACAGTACACTCATCACGGGCCAAACATCACACTACAACTGCTCACAAATTTGCTATCGCATCTGTCCGCAGACACGACCAGCCCGTAGACATTGATGCGGGAATCGGTCATCTGAAGCTAGTCACATATGCAGGGGCGGGCCCAGGAATTGAAGACTGTGTATTCAAATTTAAAAAAAAATGAAAGCCTATAGCCTTCCTCTTCACGCGTATAATAAATTGTAGCAGAATATTGTACTAGTTCTAAAATATATACAAGATATCACATAATATATTATATTCATGAAAATTGATCATAACTTTGGTATTGTTCAACATACCGAAGTAAAAAATGTTTAACATATCGAAGTAAAAAAATTAACATATCATGGGAAATCTAAGATCTGTAGAGGATAGAAAAATAGAAATGATAAGAAACCCCATTACATGATAATTTTGCGATCCCTGATGCTTTGAAAATGAGTGATGATGTCCTCATCCTCATCCGTGTTCTTCCTCTTCATGTTTTACACCTGAAAAGTAAAATTGTTCAAGTTTCAGAGTACTAATCATTATACATAATGATCCTTGTAACAAATTCAAAATTTGTAAAAGTTCCCACATTACAAACTCAAATGAAAAATAGCAAATACTCATGTATAAACAATTTATAATTGACCGCAAAAAAGTCTCTAATTTCATTGTAATTAAAAAAGACAAGTGGCAGGACTAACTTATCAAACTCTGTCCCTCTCTATACTGCAGCAATGCAGCGGGGACCGCGAGAACAAAAGTGTGTCGGTACTCTGCACTTATAGATGAAATTCAGTTTGAATCAGCGTAAGGGGAGAGCTACTACTTTCAGAAGTCGAAGGATTAGTATTTCTAATTAGCAATTATACCTTCAATAGATCAATCTGTGGTTCTGGCAGTTGAATTGATTCAGCCTGCTGCCCGCTGTCGACTTGAAGGATCAGAAGTTCAAAACGGAAGAAAGGCAGGAAGCGAGGGATGGATTAGTCACGGTGGTGCGTCGTGCCGACGCGCGATCTTCGATTAGGCGAGGCGACAGCAACATCACTGGCCGACCGGCGGCGGAGTCAGGGGAAGAGAGGCATGTGCCCATTCGTTTGTGCCTCTGATCGATTGATGGAGTTTTTTTTTTTGGGCGGTGATGGACGTGCGCGTACATGCGGCGCTGCTGGACCAACCGACCAAGTCATGGACTCGTGGTATTGAGGGAAATAGAGGTTGGGGTACTGGGCCAACTAGCTTTAGGTGGACGTGTTCTCAGTTTCGTTTTTCCTTATATATACAGAATAGTATACATAGTATATATAGCTAGTATTTTGTCCAAAATAATGGGTATTCAGTTGAATACCCTTGACTTGAGGTGGGCCCGCCCCTGCACATATGTCCGATTACATTTCAAATGAAATTCAATGAAAATAAACAAATGTAATTTAAACTTAAACAAATCTGACATGTTTTAACATAAAACTGGATGCTTTCCATTTAAACCGGAGGAAATTCATTACATTTATACATTTTTCTAGACTGACTCTAAACCTAGACTAAAATGACTGCCGGTGCCCGTTCCCCATCTCCGGCTGATCACGAGCCCTGAAAAATGAAGCCCCGCCCCCTCTACAACCCCTCTGATTACACGCCTTCCCAATGTCCGTCAGCCCGCTCGTCGTACTGCCTGATGCCTTGGAGGGATATGCTTCGGGGAGAGGGGAAGAATAGCCTCCGCTTCCTCCATACCTTTCCTTTGTCCTGCTGCGTCGCTCATCGGAGTGGCCTCCGCTTCCGTGAAGCATGGATAGGGGTTGGTTTTTGGGGCGGGTGACGACGGTGGCCTGCGAAGAGGACAAGACACCGGCTGTGCACGCCGGCAATACGCCGACGGTGGCTTCGTGGGACCCAAGCGATGGCGGCCTCCCATGATCTATTTTTCCTCGCTGTCGTCGGCGGCCGCGGATGTGTTGGCCGCCTCCTTGATCTCCACGGTGCCGACTTCTTGCTCCGATGGCAGGGCGCAGTTTCGCGCACGTTGATGGCAGATGGCGCGGGAGGAGCGGTACTACGCTGCCTCGTCCACGACAACATTTTTGCCCGTGTCGCCGTGCTCCTCCGTGAGCTGGCTTATAGCAGCGACTTGGCGAACCATGGGTCATGGGTCGGCTTGGAGTGGCCACTTGCTCCTCCGCACACAAGCCCGCAGCCTCGCCCATGGTACTGACGGCCTCGAGCGGCGAGGGAGGTCGAGAAGCAAGTTTCCTGGTACGTATTCGGTGGGCTCGGCAGGCCACGGAGCCGGCTTTTATGCTGGAGAACCTCATCTTCCTGCTTGCCGGATTCCATGGACAATGTGGAGAATATGGTGCAATGGGGAGATGGGGAGCGAAGGTGTGGTGCAAATTCTTACCTGGCGCCTGACCTCGTTCAAATAGCCAGTGGATGCGAGGAGCCAGCCGACGTTGTGTTTAATGCCGGTCGGCTCGTGGACGGGCGTGCGACCGAACTAGGTTTCTCGACACACGTGTGGCTTTAATGAGTGCTGGCGAGGAGGCGTGTTCAGCTGGGCATGTAGTGGGTGACGCTCTCTCGGCCGGCGCCGGTGAGAGGTCGCGTCCGCTCTGGGTTGGCGTCAATGCGGAGCGGCCGCTCTCAGCGGCATGAATGAGGGTAGCCGGCGCCAGGCGGGAAAGCGTTCAGGGGAGGGATGAGGGTTTTGGGGGCAAGGGCAGTCAGAAGTGGACATGGCAGCAGACCAGACGCCCACAACCCCCTGTCTCCGGTTTGCGGAGGAAAATACGTCCGACCACTGGCGAACCGATACAGACCCATATTGGGATGACAACACACATCCAGACTGTATGGTCCAAACATATGCGGAAAGTTTGAGGGTCCACGTTGGACCATAGGCGGTAGGTGTATCACAGCTACATATGCCTTTCTTTGATGGTAGGGGGCATTTGATACGAAAGAATTGCATAGGTATTTTCGAGTGTTAAAATTCTTTGGGATTTTTTCTACAATGGTTCGTCGTTCCATTGAATTCTATAGATCTTTTTCCTATGAAAATCTACTATCCAACCCAACATTTTTTTATACTTTTTTTCAATGACATCAAACATTCAATGCTACTACTTCTGTAGAACTTAGGTAGGCATGCCATTCTAATCCTGTATATTTATTTTTCTATTTTTGCCTTTTGAAAATCATGTGAATCAAAGTGGGCCTAAGGACCATCGTCCTGGTTTATAGGTCTCCTTTGTAGTTTGTGTCAAATTTTGACGAAAGATTTAACTAATAAAATGTTAATGCATGTTAAGAAAAAATATCTCATAGGATTCGTATTTGAACATAGTTTTCAAAATACTCCCTCCGTCCCAAAATTCTTGTCTTAAATTTGTCTAGATACGGATGTATCTAACACTAAAGAGTAACTAGATATATCCGTATTTGGACAAATCTAAGACAAGAATTTTGGGACGGAGGGAGTATAATGTTTAGTGACATGTGTGAACATTTTGTTAGTTTAATCTATGGTCAAAATTTGACACGAAATACAATAAGGACCAATAAACCCGAACGGAGGTAGTAGTTTGGCTTGTGATGGGCTGCATAAAGTACTTTGACCCTGCGTTGACTATGCTGATCCCTAGGAATATAAGGGCATGCCAATGTTAATCCCTAAAACGGAAAAGGCATCCGTCCACGGACTAGTTCAGTTCAGTCTATGGATAGTGCTGTGGGAGCCAATCTTTCAGCCTTATCCTTATCTTTAAAAAATATTTAATATAGTTTATATGCTTTACTAGTGTAATTTTGTAAAAAAGATAATAGATAAATTGAAGACAACATGTACAACTTTTATAGAAAATCTAGCCGTACAAAATGTATGGACCACCATGATAGTTACCCTAAAATTTGAGAAACCATGTTTTTGTTCACGAGCTTCCATGCGCACTGCAGGAGTAGTGACTGATCTAGTGATCTATCTGACCTGATTTCATCGCATCTAGGATAAGATCATGGGAATCACAAAGGTTGGACCGTTGGACACTGAGGAGGACACCTTCCATCGCGCCGGGCCGACGCATATGATGTCCAAAGCTGGCGCCGGATCGAAGATAAAGATTGACTGGTATGTTTTATATTTCCGTACTGAATCATGTGTTAATTCGTGGAGAAAACATCTGTCCAACTTTTCTTAGCATCTTTCGCATTCATGGAGAAATCACTTGTTCCCATTTTTTTAAATGTCAGTTTTTTATATAAAGAGTGGATTTTATAAACTCAAAATAAAGCAAAAAGTGGATATAACCACACTGAATACACATCCGATCTTTGCATAATTAGGATGCACAAAATCAACACTAACACATCACACAAAACACGTACACCAATACATAATCATACAAAACCAAAGCTATGCCTAAGCGAGGATTTTCTTTTGACCCCATATCATATCCGGCGCGTTTGGATGTGCAAAAATGTCTTCGATCGTCTCTACCTTGGCATCTGGTCTTTTTGATGACCACTTCATATTAAAGAAGGACGTCGTGGGAAGGATTACATTCCCTGGCTACCAGAAGTGCACGGCCACACCGCGGATGCTTGCATATGGCACGGCCGCTAGTCTGTAAAAATGCATCAACAAATTCGGCATCAAACAACTGAAAAAGGATCTGATTGAGCATATGTGAGCGGCTAAGGGGGACAACAATGTTGGAGTGTAATATTTGAACTTTTTTAAATTTGAACAACAACTGCATTTGGGCATTTGAATTATTTCTGACTATATATGCGGCTATTTGAACATACGGACTAAAAATAGAATGAGGTCGAATGTATGTGGGTAGTGTTGGATGGCCGGCTCCCACATCCATGTTTGTGGACTGATCCCCTGCCAGCGGACTGATGCCGGAGGAAATTCGTGGGTCAACATTGGAGATGCCCGAATGAAATATGGGAAATATGTCATCAAGTGCAACTGGGATTTGGGTTGTGGATGTGCAGAAATAACACGAGGTCTTCTTTATACATAGTTGTCACCTTTGTTGCTGGGCTATGTACCTACTCCCTCCGTTTTAAAATGAATGTCTTAATTCTGTATCACCTTCAGTACAAAGTTATACTATGATCGAAACGTTTATTTTGGAAGGAGGGAGTATGCTGGTGGACCTAGATACAAAATATTGCGTAGGCGAAGCTGATGCTGATGAAACCATGCATGTGAATGTATATGTCATAGGTCCAAGGAGGGGCACCGCCGGTGCGTTATGTCCTGCCTTGTCAAAGCCACTTACGTGATGGAGAACGACATACTCGGACGAAGGTTATACAATAATGATGGGCTGGCGCCAGCGTGGTGGGAGAGCTTCGGTTTCCGTTTGGTGGAAACGTTTGTTGACGACTCGAATCCGAACGACAAGATGATCTTCGGCGCCACCTTCGAGCTCATGGCACTGAGCCGGCACCGGTCCGCCCCACGCTACGTGGTTGCCTTCCGAGGCACCATGCTAGGTCACTACAAGAGGGCTCAAGAGCTGATGCAGGACTGCAAAGTCATATTCAACGAACTGCGCGGCAGCAAGCGGTTCGAGATCGCGCACCCCAAGGTCCACCAGCTGATCGGCAGGGACGCCAGCGGCGTCTGGCTCACGGGGCATTCCCTCGGCGCGTCGCTGGCGCTGGACATAGGGCGGGACCTGATGGAGATCGAGGGGCACAACATCCGGACCTTCCTCTTCAACCCGCCGCACGTGTCGGCGGCGGCGCCGATCGACAAGGTCCTCAAGGGGGACGCCAAGACCGGGCTCTACACCACGAGCTTCATGCTCAAGTTCGCGCTCGGCCAGGTGATGGGCTCGTACCGCAAGCGCACCAAGCGGCTTTTCGAGCGGCTCAACCCGTGGGTGCCGGACATGTACGTGAACCGTAAGGACATCATCAGCATGGGGCATATTGAGTACTTCGAGCAGCGGCAGCAGGTGGCCAAGGGCTTCTCCCGCGTCGCCAAAACCGGGTCGAGACTGTCGTACCGTGATATGTTCCACTCCATGTTCGGCGCCAAGACGCTCAAGCCCCACCTGCTGCCGTCGGCGAGGCTCAACTCCAGCACCGACAGTGACGCGCACAGCCTTCGGCAGTGGTGGAAGCCGGATAGTCGACTGTCGTTGAGCACCAAGACCTACAGCTACCCACACGGCTAATGCTTGCTTGGTGCCGCTGGTCGGATCTCGGCTGTAATAAAAACCAGGAGTACTCAACTACAGGGTACATGCATGCGGCATCAGGTTTTTCGTCCCATAGTCCCAAATCAGGACAGTAGGTTTTCCTGAAGCACATGTGTATCCAGTCATTGTTACTTTTTCTTTTTTTGAACCGGTGTGTGCAATTGTTTACAGGGCGTGCGCGTACCCCTAGGTCGTCAATTTGACCAACCTAATACAAGTCATATATTACAAAAAATATACCAACATAAACTTTGAAGTTTCTACTTTCAAAAGGTATAATTTTTGTGTTATATAATTTATATTAGGATGATAAAATTGATAACCTAGATATACGCGCAGGACTTGTAAACTGAAACGGAGGTAGTACTAAACATATTGTTCAACTGAACTCATAATATCTGTGCTCTTGTTGGATACCAGCATTGAGGAACCATTGTGTCCAGAAAGTGGCAATTTGGAAAATATTTCGCCTTCAACACTCTGGCACAAAGAAATTCTGGCTTCTCTAGAGTTGCCAAGCCTGTCTAGCCTAAATAGACTGATTAAATAAGAATACATCACGAACTTCATACCTCCATGTCCTTTAGGTGGCTCCCGCGACAACCAGTGTGCTTTTTTTGCTTTCGTTTTCATCCCCACCAATAGTCCTTGGCCCTGTTTGACAAATCATCGCACAAGTCCGCTGGAAATCTGAATATCCCCATCATATAAGTTGGTAGGGCTTGAAGCACTGATATTGTTTTAAATTTCCATTGCAGCACTCAATAGGTACTTCTCCGTCCAGTTTATCAATCTCTTCAAGGAACTATCCTTGATAGGATGATAATTACCCTCCTTCATTCACCCTTGCCCTAGAAGCCCCAAATATTTATCCTCAAATCTATCCGCCGCAACTTGAAGGATCACCATCACAACCATTTGATATTCCATAGTGCACTTTTCCTCAAACATAATGGAGCATTTGGACGGACTCAACTTGCTGACACGAGCCAATTTCAGAAGAAGCAAAAAATTTCTTGACAATCAAAGCTTGATCAAGAAAAGACTTTCAAAAGTAATATGCAATCATCTGCAAAGAGTAAATGCGACACATCATGAGCATTTCTACAAATTTTGAAGTCTTGAAGAACACCTTGTTTATGGCATCATGCAGCACCAGGGGTAGAGTTTCAGTCACCATCAAAAACAAATAAAACGAGAGGGATCTTATCTAAACCCTAGAGATGGTGAGAAGAATTCCAGGAGTTGCCCATTGAGCCGCACTGAATATTTCACCATTGGCACACATTCTATCGTCTATTCAACCCCTAAATCTCAACCGTTTACAACTTCAAATCTCAACCGTTTGTATCTATTATTAATGGTCAAGATAATTTAATTTATGTGGAAGAATGTGATGGCTTGCTTGACTCCTACTTTAATAATATAATAGATCCATGTACGTTTGCTATACACATGAATATCACAAGACATTAAGTGGTTCCACAATTTAGACATAAAATTTATTGAAGTGCACAATTCAAACATTAAGCTATTTTGTTTTCATGGTAAGTTCCTCGATTTGCCCTAGTTTCCAAGACGCCTCTGTTGGAAATATGCCCTAGAGGCAATAATAAAAGGATTATTATTATATTTCCTTGTTCATGATAATTGTCTTTTATTCATGCTATAATTGTATTATCCGGAAATCGTAATACACGTGTGAATACATAGACCATAAATATGTCCCTAGTGAGCCTCTAGTTGACTAGTTCGTTGATCAACAGATAGTCATGGTTTCCTGACTATGGACATTAGATGTCATTGATAACAGGATCACATCATTAGGAGAATGATGTGATGGACAAGACCCAATCCTAAGCATGGCACAAGATCGTGTAGTTCGTTTGCTAGAGCTTTTCCAATGTCAAGTATCTTTTCCTTAGACCATGAGATCGTGTAACTCCCGGATACCGTAGGAGTGCTTTGGGTGTACCAAACGTCGCAACGTAACTGGGTGACTATAAAGGTATACTACGGGTATCTCCGAAAGTGTCTGTTGGGTTGACACAGATCGAGACTGGGATTTGTCACTCCGTATGACGGAGAGGTATCTCTGGGCCCACTCGGTAATGCATCATCACAATGAGCTCAAAGTGACCAAGTGTCTGGTCACGGGATCATGCATTACGGTACGAGTAAAGTGACTTGCCGGTAACAAGATTGAACGAGGTATTGGGATACCGACGATTGAATCTCGGGCAAGTAAAATACCGATTGACAATGGGAATTGTATACAGGGTTGCTTGAATCCTCGACATCGTGGTTCATCCGATGAGATCATCGAGGAGCATGTGGGAGCCAACATGGGTATCCAGATCCCGCTGTTGGTTATTGACTGGAGAGCCGTCTCGGTCATGTCTACATGTCTCCCGAACCCGTAGGGTCTACACATTTAAGGTTCGGTGATGCTAGGGTTGTAGAGATATGAGTATGCAGTAAACCAAAAGTTGTTCGGAGTCCCGGATGAGATCCTGGATGTCACGAGGAGTTCCGGAATGGTCCGGAGGTAAAGAATTATATATAGGAAGTGCAATTTCGGCCATCAGGAGAGTTTCGGGGGTCACCGGTATTGTTCCGGGACCACCGGAAGGGTCCCGGGGGTCCACCGGGTGGGACCACCTATCCCGGAGGGGCCCGTGGGCTGAAGTGGGGAAGGGACCAGCCCCTGGCGGGCTTGTGCGCCCCCCTTGGGCCCCCCTGCGCCTAGGGTTGGAAACCCTAGGGTGGGGGGGGCGCCTCCACTTGCCTTGGGGGGCACTCCACCCCCCTGGCCGCCGCCCCCCCTTGGGAGATCTCATCTCTAGGGCCGCCCCCCCTGGGGGCCTATATAAAGGAGGGGGGATGGAGGGCAGCCGCACCCTGAAGTCTTGGCACCTCCCTCTACCCTTGCTACACCTCCTCCTCCCGTAGTCGCTTGGCGAAGCCCTGCCGAAACTCTGCTGCATCCACCACCACACCCTCGTGCTGCTGGATCTTCATCAACCTCTCCTTCCCCCTTTCTGGATCAATAAGGAGGAGACGTCACGCTGACCGTACGTGTGTTGAATGCGGAGGTGCCGTCCGTTCGGTGCTAGGATCTCCGGTGATTTGGATCACGACGAGTACGACTCCCTCAACCCCGTTCTCTTGAACGTTTCCGCTTGCGATCTACAAGGGTATGTAGATGCACTCCCCTCTCTCGTTGCTAGATGAACTCATAGATTGATCTTGGTGAACGTAGGAAATTTTTTATTTTATGCAACGTTCCCCTATAGTGGCATCATGAGCTAGGTCTATGTGTAGTTCTCTATTGCACGAGTAGAACACAAATTTGTTGTGGGCGTAGATGTTGTCAACTTTCTTGATGCTACTAGTCTTATTTTGCTTCAGCGGTATTGTGGGATGAAGCGGCCCGGACCGACCTTACACGTACGCTTACGTGAGACAGGTTCCACCGACTGACATGCACTAGTTGCATAAGGTGGCTAGCGAGTGTCTGTCTCTCCCATTTTAGTTGGAGCGGATTCGATGAAAAGGGTCCTTATGAAGGGTAAATAGAAGTTGACAAATCACGTTGTGGCTTTTTCGTAGGTAAGAAAATGTTCTTGCTAGAACCCTATTGCAGCCACGTAAAAGATGCAACAACAATTAGAGGACGTCTAACTTATTTTTGCAGCAATTGCCTTGTGATGTGATATGGCCAAAAGTTGTGATGAATGATGAATGATATATTGTGATGTATGAGATCATGTTCTTGTAAAAGGAATCACGACTTGCATGTCGATGAGTATGACAACCGACAGGAGCCATAGGAGTTGTCTTAATTATTGATGACCTGCGTGTCAATGATTTAACGCCATGTAATTACTTTACTTTATTGCTAAACCATTAGCCATAGTAGTAGAAGTAATAGTTGGCGAGCAACTTCATGGAGACACGATGATGGAGATCATGGTGTCATGCCGGTGACGAAGATGATCATGGAGCCCCAAAGATGGAGATGAAAGGAGCTATATGATATTGGCCATATCATGTCACTACTATTTAATTGCATGAGATGTTTATTATGTTTATGCATCTTGTTTACTTAGAACAACGGTAGTAAATAAGATGATCCCTCATGATAATTTCAAGAAAGTGTTCCCCCTAACTGTGCGCCGTTGCTAAAGTTCATCGTTTCGAAGCACCACATGATGATAGGGTGTGATAGATTCCTACGTTCACATACAACGGGTGTAAGACAGTTTTACACATGCAAAACACTTAGGGTTAACTTGGCGAGCCTAGCATGTACAGACATGGCCTCGGAACACAGAGACCGAAAGGTCAAACATGAGTCGTATGGAAGATACGATCAACATGGAGATGTTCACCGATGATGACTAGTCTGTTTCACGTGATGATCGGACACAGCCTAGTCGACTCGGATCATGTAACACTTAGATGACTAGAGGGATGTCAAATCTGAGTGGGAGTTCATTAAATAATTTGATTAGATGAACTTAATTATCATGAACTTAGTCTAAAACCTTTGCAAATATGTCTTGTAGATCAAATGGCCAACGCTCATGTCAACATGAACTTCAACGCGTTCCTAGAGAAAACCAAGCTGAAAGATGATGGCAGCAACTATACGGACTGGGTCCGGAACCTGAGGATCATCCTCATAGCTGCCAAGAAAGCATATGTCCTAGAAGGACCGCTAGGTGAAGCACCCATCCCAGAGAACCAAGACGTTATGAATGCTTGGCAGTCACGTGCTGATGATTACTCCCTCGTTCAGTGCGGCATGCTTTACAGCTTAGAACCGGGGCTCCAAAAGCGTTTCGAGCAACACGGAGCATATGAGATGTTTGAGGAGCTGAAAATGGTTTTCCAAGCTCATGCTCGGGTCGAAAGATATGAAGTCTCCAACAAGTTCTACAGTTGTAAGATGGAGGAAAATAGTTCTATCA